TGAGAGTTGATATTAGTATGAATATTAGTATTATTAGTAGTAGAGCTTGTTTGATGGAAATTGATTCTACTGAATTCAACCTAATTCTTTCTGTAGACAACTCTACAACTAACTCATCTACTCAAGCAACTGTTATCAATACAAACCAAAAGACTACTATCTCTAACTTTCTCAAACTCAAACATTATCAAATATTTACAACTACTTAATCCCAAACTCAATCCTCTACTCCCAATTAACCAATATCTATTACGATTCAACTTACTGCTATCAACAAATCATCTCCTACCTTATCCTCCCATCAAACAAGCTCTACTACTAATAATACTAATATTCATACTAATATCAACTCTCAAAAATCTTCTAACAATACTAATACTACTAACAGTAACAACAATGATAGTGTTTACACTATAGCTACCTTATCTGACAAACCCAAAGTTAAAGCCAACTCATCTTTTGATTGGCTTTCTTATTTTTCTATTACTGATAAAATGAAAAACAAAAACAAACTTAAAATATCTATAACTCTTTAACTCTTTAACTTCTTTAAAACCTATTTTCACAACTTTTATCTTGGCAAAATCCTCAAAAAAGCCAATTATAAAAATCTATACTACTTCAAGCCAATTTCAGATATCTCATCTATACTATAGCTGCTTGTTAACTCCAATTTCTCCTAAACTTTATTTACTCCAAAAACCCAGATACTAATCCCAAAGCCTCAATTAATTTTACTATCCATGAAACTACTTTTAGAAACCTAATTTACAAATTTATCTCTATTCTTTTCACCCAATTCAATTATAATGAAATCTTTGCTTTAGCACTTACTATACCTCATTACAAACCAGAAAACAGAATTCAATTTTGCCTTAACCTTGCTCGCATTCACTTATATCTTTCTGAAAATTACCAATATATTAACTATACTAAGTTTGTTAAAGACTTCAATCTCTATACAAAAACCTTTAAAATCATATCCTACATTATTTCTATTGATCAAAACAAAGAATATTTTACTATTAAATCAGATGACAAATTTAATATTAATCTTCTATTTAACCTACCTCAATCACTCTTTCTTCACAAATTTAGTATTTCCCCTCTTAAAAACTCTAAAAAAAACTTTGACAAATGGTTTAAAAATTTCTTTCCAATCTATTAACACCAATTTACTTCAATTGACAAACAAAAAACATATGAAAAACTACACTATTTTATCAAAAGAGCATTTATTTTCCAACTTAAACAGCTTCTCCCTTCTGAATATATTCCAAACAAACCCTCAAACTCTTTCAAATGCTAACTTGAATATACCCAATTTCTCAAATACCACATATTTACATTTACTCACAAAGACTGCTCTTATGTCCAAGATGGCAAACACAATATACCTGACCTCTGCCAAGCTATTCAACAAGAATTTGACAAACATTATTCTATCCAAGTAACTGAAACTCACCTATTATTTTAATTAACCCCTTAATTGACAACAAATACTCAGCCACCTTCTAGAAACCAATTTCAACAAAAACCCTAAACAAACTTGCAGATGAAGCAGAATAGCAAATTTGCAAAAAATACTTTACTACTTTTAGCAAAGGCCACTACAATTTTTACTTCTACCAATACCTACAAATCTACTAAGATATAGCAGCCAATAATTACAACATTTCTAATCTCTCTAAAAAACAAGCAATTAATCTTATCCCCAAAATATCATACTTACTAATTACTTGGCTCAAATAATCACATACTTTAACCTTTTCTATATTCAAGATAAAAACACCAAATTTATCTTCTCACAAATATTTAAACATTACTCATTATCTGCCTTCCCTGAAACAGAAAAAATTCTCTCTGCCAAATTTAAAATTTAATTTGAAGTCCCTGTAATTAAAGATTCTTTGTTTATCAAAAAAGATTCTTTTTTTCTCTAATCCAATCTTCTACAAATCACTACTTCTCTAAAAGATATATTCTTAGTAGTTAGAGAAGAGAATGATATAAGTAGGCAGGTGGTTAAGCCTATTTACTCAGAAGAATTAGATAACTACAGTACTCTAATATTCAACCTGAGTGTCTCTAATTCTTGCAGAATCATGAGAGCTAGGTATAGCAAGCGCAATTGTAGAAAATATCCAAAAGGTTCTATTTTCAATTTCTTCCACCTCCTATGAGCCTTTAATAAATTTTTTATATTACAAAACATTCCACCTATTTCATTACCCCAAACACTTAACTCTTTCTTTTTACATCTACGTAAGTTGTTACAAATAGAAAGGAAGTACAGGAAGTAGAGTGAAAGAAACATCAGCAATTGACTTGGGACCGGAGAATGGAAAGCCATATCTGATGTATCTATCATCTTCAGAAGAGGTGAATAATCATGAACCGGTCCTAGTAAAAGGTATAACAGTTGACCAGGAAGATATAAATAATTAATGCAACTATAAAACTATAACAATGTATTTAAATATTTTTATTGTCATTTACCTTTGAACCTTTGGGTTCGAAAATCTTATTGTATTTTATTTGACACTTATGTATTAATAACACTTTTACAAGTTATGAAATTCTGAAAAAAAAAATAAAGAAATAAAATTAAATCAGTTTTGCCCAATCGAACTAATATATCGAAACTTTTAAAAAAAAAATAAGAAGGTAAAAAATTATTGTGGTAAAAGACAATTTATTTCACGTAAACTACATAAAGAAAAAAAATTTTCTAACATCTATTACATCTATTTGTACCATATGGAGGATCAGATCAGAACGTATAACGTGAAGCGCTGCGGCGGGGCTGCGGCAGTGGCGCGACTCATGTGACAGTAAATTTGATGGCCGCCCTGGTCGATTCGTAAATAGTGGACATGGCTGCCTTTACTGATGCCTATGACGAAGTTAAACGTCTTTCTAACATTAATAATGATAAGAAACTTGCTAAAAATGAAGTAGCTTCTTTGTTCACATATTTTAACAATTCTGTAAAATTGCCTTGCGTTGAAAAAGCTCTTAACAAAAGCGAAGATGATGATATTAAGCTCACATACTTAAGAATCTGTTAGCCTCTGGTATGAATTGAACAATAATTTGTAGTTTTTGCAAAGTAATTTCGAATACTTGTATTTTCCCTGCATAATCTAAACCTGTCCAAAAATTTATATTATCTAGAGAAAGTTAATGTCACCGGTAAGTAAATTTTACGATTCAATGTAGAGATGCGATCTAAATATCTGCTGGTTTTGTTATAATCTTATAACAAATTTAATATAAAATTGGAAAGATATCCTGATATCATAATTGTAAAGTTTAAATAGAAAAACGTATAAAGATCGCATCTCTAACGATAAATGGGTTTAGCTTGATTTTTGATACCTTTTTAATTATCTATTTATTTGTTTCAGATCTTGGAGATATTCTCACATATCAATTTAGTCAGATGGTATGCTTATTAATATAAGACATTATAATTTCAATACATTACATTTACGGGGATCTTTTTAGAATGATAGATCAACTTCAGAATTGACGAAAGTTATAGAGAAAATTTCAGATCGAAATTCAGCACTATTTACAGAATTTTTGCAAGTTGTAAATAGAAATTCAGCACTTATAGATCGAAATCCAGAACTATTTTCAGAATTATCGCAAGTCGTAAAGAAAAATTCAGCATCTATAGATAAAAACTCAGAACTCATAGATAAAAATTTAGAAGTTCTAGATAGAAACTTAGAAATTATGGAACAATCCTTGTTGGTATTGATTCGTCTTGATAGAAACAGTAGACCTATTGGCCGGAATAATGAAACAGGTAATCGTTTCTTATACACATAAACTTTAGTGCTTATACCTTATTTAACCACTTCTATACGTGCTTTAGCCACCGTAACTCGTGCTAAAGCATATCAAAGCACCTCGTTTGTAAAAGTTGATGAAGATTACTTCCTTAACATGAATAATTCTTACCTTGGTGAATTTAAGCAAAATGGATCGGTTAATGAATACCTGTAAAATAATCACGTACCAACCAACTTAGAAGATGATATTCAGGATTGGTTCAACAAACTAATGACAAACCTTCCAAAATTCGCAAAGAAACTTGTTGTAAAAGATACACACACTAATGCATATCTAGATGGACTTAAACCGGATCTCAGCGTCTTTATGGAGGAGGATGTTGAAAACGACGTTTATTTAACCATGTCAGTTCTAACACTTCTGGAGGTGAAAAGAAGAAAGGGCACTTCCGTTCTACTTAATGAAGATAAGGGCCAAGTTTTAAACTATATTCGTGTGCTTATAGATCAACAGCCATTGCGTGAGCATTTTGTAGTATTTTTGTCAGACGGATTTTATTTTTATGTGATGGCTTATGATAGGAAAGTTAATCAGTATTTTGAGTTTACGACCAATTTTAAAACTGGATTGCAACTTTTTTGGGTGTTGCTTAATTTTAGTTCACCTTTAACAAATGTGCAAGGACCTAGAAGTGTTATGTTCTGTACATCACAGAGAGATTTTACAAAAATATGTTTAAAGAGATATTAAGGTGTGGGAACATCTTCAACAGTGTATGAGATTGACTGGAATAATACTCCATCTGTCATAAAAGTCTTTAAATCTGGCTATAGTTCAGAGACTGAAGTGTCTGCATTAAAATTTTTAAATGAGAATTATTTTGAAAACGTTCCACAATATGTTGCACATGATGACAGTTCGCCCGGTTTGTGAACGAATTGATGATCAATTCAGAACATCTCATGCTTTACAACTCCTTCGCCTTTTAAAACGCATACATTAATTGAAAATTTATCATCGAGATGTGCGCCCTGAAAACATCTTATTAAATTCTAATTATGATACACTTATACTCGCTGACTGGGGATCATCGATCAGGCATACACATGGTGGTATGGTGAATTACGAAGGAACGATTACATTTGCTTCACCAAATGTTCTAAAAAACAACTTTAATCGTTACGTACCTAAGGCATCTGATGATTTGCATTCATTCGTACGTACAGTTTATATTTTACGAAATCCATCAAAATTTCCAACAACTTCCGATGAGAATTTTGAACTAAAAGCAAAGGTGATTAGAGAATTCTGGAATGATATGTTAGATGCAAAACTGAAAGGACCATTTTGGACAGAGAATGAAGATTATGAAGCACTGAGAAAATGTTGCTATGTTTTTAAAAAATAATACATCCGAGCTGATATATGGATTTAAATTTAAAATGAATATGGTTTTTTACTAAGAATTTTAATTATCTTTAGCAATCGTTCACATTTGCGCTAATAATTAAAGTTTCTACATTTGGGGCTTATTATTTTAACCATATGTTATGCTTAATCGTAAATAGAACGCATAAACCGCAAAAGTTACTAAGACCAAATATTGTCTACTATTTTTTTTATTTTTGCTTGTAAAAAAAAGACATTATAAAAATTTTTTTATTTTCTTTCTCATATCTTTATAATTTACTCTTTCCTTTTTCAAGCACTTTTTAGAAAAATTTTCAATTTCTTTAATGATCGGCGATATAATGAATACATATATATATATATATGATATTTAAATTATATATATATCTAATATTTAAATTTAAGCTCAGTGACGCAAGTGTTTTTAGAGAATACCAAGTTTGTGAAAACATATCTATCCAAATGTATTAAAGTTGTGAATTTAATGATTGATTATGGCAAAGCGAAAGTGATCTACATAATTTTTTTTCACGCACTTGAAGTATTTCAAATATGTCCGCTTTTGTATAAAGCGATAGTAAATACCATGGAAGCCAAACTCACGAAACTAAAGAATGTGATATAGAAAATGCCAAGCTAATTACAAAATTAGAAATGCAGTATCGAATAAATTAATGTTCCTAAAGTTTTGGGGCTGCATGGATGAACTTAACCCCCCCCCCCCGCAATTTCAAAATTATCGACTTCATAACATTTGTTAGTAAAAAGATGTCAAAAACTTGAAGATATTGTCAATAAGCTTTTATGACAACCAATAAAAAGCACAGATTTTCGCTACGCTCTGTTTCTGATACGTATGGCCCAGGGCGATTTTTTGCGGCGATAAAATATCTAATATTGTACGTGCATACCTAATTCTATTCGTAATAAAAGATAATTCTGCGAAATTCTACGATTTGGCCAGCATTTCGATTCGAAATTCCGGTCAAAATTTTAATTAGTGCAAAATTCCGTGAACACAGAAAATCACCGTCCCTGGCTAACAAAACTTCGTGCGACATTATCATGTATATGTAACATACTACGGCGTAAATTATTGCCTTTTGATTTTACAAAGTCTCTTCTCTTACACCTTTCTCATGGCGTCAAAATTGTTTATGGGCGATATGCCTGAATTAATGGAAAGAATTTTAAATAATTTAAATAATGAAATTTATACCTTACATTCATGTACACTTGTAAGCCGACATTGGTGTAAGATGTCAATTCCTATGCTTTGGCGAGATCCATTTTCATTTAGCAAAAATCCAATTTTCATATCAAAATATATTTCATCCTTTGAAGATTATGGAAATTTTATTTTAAAAGAATACGGGATAATTACTGATTTTCCTAATACTTTATTTCGCTATGCAAGATTTTTAGAAGTTCTCAACTTATCTCTTTTAAATAATAAAGTTGAACAATGGATCAGATGGAATAATATCAACCAGCAAATAGATAAATTAAAATATAATGTAGTTAACTTATTGCTTAAAAACATTATTGAAAGTGGAGCCATCTTGTCTAGATTAGATTTAAATATTTCCGAAAGTGGTGCCATTTCGTCTATATTAGATTTAAATATTTACAACAATTCCGTTAAAATTAATTCTGAGATCTTTTACTTATTGGAACAAAATATGAACTTTCTCTCACGGCTTCGTGCTCTATCTGTTGTAATATCACCTAAATCTGAATTTGAATCCGAATCCGAATCCGAATTCGAATCCGAATATGAATCTGAATATGAAACTGACTTCGAACAAACCATCACATTATTAAAAATTTTGGCAAAAAGCGCTACGAAAATCACTGACTTGAGAATTAAAATGCATTATTCTGATTGCCTTCCACAACTATGCCAAGAATTAACATGCATTATCAAATCACAAGAACACCTTAAATGGTTTAACTTTTTCCGCGACGAAGAAGCACCAAGAGAATTATATGGTATCATTTTAGCTCTAAAAAGTCAAAAAAAGACATTAAAAGAAATTATAATAAAAGGTTGTGCTTATTATAATCCGGAGTTTAACGTGCTAAGAAATTGTGAAAATTTAGAAACTATTCGTACCTCACGTTGCAACGAGGAAATATTTAAGATATTAAATACCAAAGTCAATATTTTAGAAATAAATTCTTGCAACTCAATAGATGCATCAAATCTAATACAAATTTTAGAAAAGTCTGGCTCATCACTACAACGACTTAAACTTAATACAGAATTTTATATAGATTTTTATTCAGAAATTTATTCGCAATCGTCATTAATAGATACACTTATGGCTTTCTGTCCAAATATTACTTATCTCTATATATCGGGTGTCAAACTTTTCACTCAATTTTTGAATCTTATTGAGTGTTTACAAAAACTTCAATTTCTCACCATATGCTGGGATGATGGACCAGAAGTGATGACACGTGAATTGCGAAAAAAAGAAATAAAATCAAATGTTAAGCAGCTTGCAGAAAAATTACCATCAACATTACAATATCTTGACTTGACTAAAATATGGTTGGACTCGCATATTGATATTTTACTCGATCATTGTAATGCACCTTTAAAACAGCTATCATTTCGCATGCACTATAATAAAGAGGAAAAAATCAATGCGTTAATTAGATTTTGTATACGAAAGAAGACCTTGAATACTGTGAGTATATTCAAAGAAATGAGTTTAGATAAACTTAAAAAAGATTTAGAAGGATTTGTTAAATTGGTACCATATGAATCTTTTATTGTCAATTGTTAATTGATAGTCTAAGATAAAATAAGATTTTTGAATTAGGTGATAGAAATTAGATAAATATAGAGAGAATATAATCTATGAATTACTATTTGACCATCTATCAAAAATTACGAGCATCGAAATAAGTTTTCATTCATAATTGGGCATCAGTCAATTTTAAGTGTAATGATAATGATAAATTTGATTTATTATAAATAACAATTTTCATAAATATTGATTTAATAATTCTTTCAGGTTTTTCAAAATTGAATTATCGTAATTAAAAGCATGGGATTTGATTTAATATTGAAAAGGATACTGCATCTTATATTAATGTCCCGTAAAAGATTTATTAAAACAGTTTTTTTTATCAAACTTTCAAAATCAAAATGATAATTCTGCAGTTTAATAGTTTTACAAAAACAGCAATTTCTGGTTTTATACAATTTCTGCAACAAGTATACCAAGTGAACGCTTGTTTTTGGACGCAGGGAATGTTTTCGATTTTTCACATAGGTAATCGTTGACTAGTTTTTTTTTATAAAAATTTAAATAACTCTTTGAACAAACAAACATATACAAATAAAAATTTTACTCTCCGAAGCTCTCTTAACGTGCTAATTAAATTAATACCTTTTTTTTTTAGATTTCACTTACTACCGGTAGTACGTTGTACTACCATGTGACACTTTTCAAAAGCAATTATCTATTAATTTTAAAAATTAATTATTTGTTTAAATATTTTTTTAATATGTCTTAAATCTATATAATTGCATACCAAGCATTATAGTAGTTATAAATATTTTTTAAAAATTTATATAATTTTTTTTAACTTTAAAATCTTAGTTTAAACTAGATTTATATAGCATTTACTAGTTATCTTATAGAATATTCTTGTTTATAAATTTTTTTTTTGAAAAGTAAATTTATTTAAATTTTTAATAAAAATTGTAAAAATAAGGCTGTTAATTTAAATTGCAAAATTTCATCAAAATTGAATATAATATACAAAAAATAATTTAACTTTAAATTTTACTAATAAATACTATATAAATCTATTTTTAGATTTATATTTAAAAAATAAATAAGTTTTTTTTAAAATTTAAAGTAATATAATTTAAAATGAGTATTACTAACTATAACCAGTGATGATCATTACCAGAGTGCTTATATCTCAAAAATGTACTAAGTAAACAGGATAGGGTACTCTAAATAAAAATGTTCAGGACCCCTAAAAACCTTATGAAAACTGAAATCAGGACTTTATTAGCTCTATATTATATTATATATAAAAAAAAATAATTCTTAATACCCACACCCTAACCCTAAAAATAATTAGGGGCAGTGATGATCACCACTAGTTATTTTAAGTATATTTCATTTAAAATAAACTAATTTGCTATTAAAGAAAATTTATAATTAAAATCAAAAAATAAATTTTTATAACTTGAATTAATTTATTTGTGCCATAAGCTACATGTAGCTGTACTACTAAAATAGTTTTTTTATAGAAAAATTTTACAGCCATTTAACATTAGGGTTAGGGTTAGAATTAAGGTTAGGTTAGATTAGAGTTAGGGTTTGAAGTTAAAGTAAAGTAAAATTGCATGAGGAGCATTTTTACTTAGTTACATGATAGGTGTTACCCTAGTAAAATTTTGAGTTATTGCAGAATTATTGAATATGGCTACAAATAAATAATTCCTTATAACTTTAATTAGAAATTTAAAAAATTATAATCAATAAAATTTTTTTTAAATATTAGCTTACTATAAGTAGTAATAAATTGTAATAAATTTGAAAAAAAACTTATAATATATATACTGTATATTCGCAAAATAACAGGCATGGGCATTATTTAGAATAATGACCAGAATTAAGCTTAATTTAGGCTGAAATTCATAATTTCACCCCTGTACATTATTTCGCGAAAATATAGTAAGTAATAATTATTATAAATAATTAATACTAAATTTTTTTGTTATAAAAGTTTTTTAAATTTTTTATATAATTAATTGATAATCTGCCAGTCAACAGAAGAATAATCATAGTGTAACGTGACACAAATCACTATGTATAGTGTGAATCTGAAAAATTTCTACTGTTCATCCAAAGAAAACATTTTTTCGTACTAAGTTAATCAATTTTGTAAATTAATTGAAAGTTGTAGAGCTCGTCTTTGCGGTTCTAATGGTGGTTAAACATCCAACTCGGCCCAGTGGATGCC